ATATTGACTAGAATATGTTGACACTAGCTAGATACAACCAATTGCTCAGCATATTTAGCTGTATCTGGACATATGTTACACCTTTTTTAACTCCTCTATAAAGAAGTTGAAATAAAACAAAAAAATTGTCCAGTGGTGGGGAAAATGGAATGGTTTGAACAAAAACAGGAGGGGGGGGGGAGGGATTCTTACTCCATATCACTCAGATCGGCCTGGCCTGTCGTGCATAAGCACTTTTGAAGTTCCCCAGGAAACACATCAGTTTGACTAAGCAATTTTAGTGGCAAACAAGAATCCATTAGAAATTAAAGAAGTTAAATATCAAGATACTAAAATAGCGCCTGTCTGTGAGTCTTTTAATTATGTTATCAGTACCTCCAAAACACACATCCTATGTTTACCTCTGCTGAGCTCAGACTATTTTGATTCCTTATGATTGTTAACTACTTCACATGCACAAAAAGAATTCTTGAAGCTGAATTTCTATCACCAGGATAGCTTTCAACGGACCGAATGAATAATGTTTTCTAGCAGAAGATGCATTTATTTTTTCAGAAAGAATCTAATTATTAGATGCTTTACTTCAAAGTGATCACAGTCAGTCTCATAAATAATTTATTACAAAAACGGGAATTTTCCAGTTTTTTACACATGCACATATACTGGTGGTAACTTGTTTTTATGTCGGCCAAAGAGACTCTGGTTTTGATGAAGTGCGAACCTTAGGAATGGGCGAAAAACTACCCAAATGAATGAAGGCCGTTATCTTAAGACGTCACATCTCTAGAAGATGTGGAAACATATCTCCAGGTTCTTCCATTTCTACTGCAGATACTCATCACCTGGAAAAAGACCTTGAATTGAATAACTAAGTTAAAGAAAGGGCAAATCATTAAGTTAATGTACATCATTGTGGAAGCATATGATTATGACACACAAAAAAGCAGAGCACAGTAGTAATGCACATAAAACAAAAAAGAAAAGCATGAGGCTTTCAAAAAATGGATTACTTCTAAAGCACAGTCTAACTAAGCCCACCGATGAAAGGAAATGTTCCACTGCGTAAGGACTAGGATCAATCAAAAGCAATTTGATGAATAACACAAATTTAATGGTTTAAAACTGAGAGTTCATTCATTCTTTAGATGTCTGTTTAGGAGGCAACTCCTCTGTGGCATATCACACCAAAAATGTACAGAGAAGATCAAAAGAAATTAAAAGAAACAAAGGAGTAACAAGAACAATAATATTAATAAATATTAATCACAGAAAAATAATACCAAGATGTTAAAATATATATGAAAGTGCATTTCATATGGCACATCTGATGTCAGGGCTTCGCATGCCACAATTAAAACAATAAATTACAGATCTGAAGGCTCTTTTTATCAGAATAGGACGCAAACTCCCCATGAAAAGCATAGTAATTTCCCCTTTGAAGAATATACATAATGTGTAATACAAGGCGAGAATGTTCTAGTACTCAGAGGAGAACCACACAACATTATGAGAGGTGTTTGGAAGAATGTGCAAGTCAGCACAAGGTTCACTCAAAGATAGATTGTTATTAGTAATACAAAAGGTTGTTCATTACATAGTAGTTATAAATATTTTTGGTAGACATTTGTTTTATCCTCCCTGCCTCGGGAAAGAAATTAATGTACCTCAGCCTCTCAACTAAGGTAGTGAAACGGATTGCAGACAGAACCACACAGCTTGATCGATATAAGGCATACACTTGAGGTATTTGAAAAAAATACAGTGAAATGAGGAATGCTGAAACGTCAACAAGCCCACAAGAAAAAGCAGATGTGATATGATATTACACAGAGAAATGAATGCCCATGAGCTCTATCAATGATATGAAAGTTCATTTGCATCCTTTTGATTTTTCAAAGATAAAATCTGTTCTGGAAATAAGATTTTCTCTTAATCTGTAAATAATTAGGTAGAAGTACATAAACAACATCCAAATAAACACAATAGAAATTACTCCCATTCTTGGCAAATGTCCACAAACCAATTTCACAATCATTTTTCAGTACAGACATAGGCTCTCTTCTTAACTTTGACACTCCCAGTTTAGGACTGATTAACAGAGTTTACCGTAAAAGTATTACTGAATTTAAACTTCCTTTTGTTTCTTTCTCAGGTTTTGCACAGATAAAAACGCAATACCAAACAACTTCTAACATTTTAACTTTTAAATGTACAAAATGTTCCCGATGTACAAAAACAACTTCCTTATTATCTCAATGAAAAGGAAAAGAACTATTCCAGAATATCAAGTCTTTAAGTAAGAGATTTTAAATTTTAAAAATGAGATACAGTAAAGGGAAGACAGATCTGTCTTACTGGACAAAACTTCAATTCACTCTTTATGAAAATTGCACAGGATTATGACCATTAATTTTCCATTATAGGCTTTACATCCATATTGTTCCCCATGTATAGGAACTTCAGACCAGAATACTGAATGTAAATTATGTGATGCAAATACCAATAAAACTTTAACTGATGACATACTCGTTTTTGAAGTAAAATACATGGTACACAACATTTCAGCTGAAATTAACTTGTTGGCTACTTAATAGCCAAGTCATTCAAATAAAACCAAGAAACATAAAAAAAAGTTCCCTTTCCAATAGTACATAGCATATTTCACAGCACCATGGTCAAGCATGAACCGAGTGTAAAGGCTAATACTCCCCAGTGTTGCGGGTTTGCATGCCCAAGGGGCTATGGCGCCTTACGGGCAGATCGGGTAGGCACACCTGCAACACTGTGGTGTATTGCTTTTACAGATGGAACATCATAGTCGACACACACCAAGTAAATGTACAGTGGAGCAAAGACAACGTAAAAGGTGCTTATGATATTGACTAGAATATGTTGACACTAGCTAGATACAACCAATTGATCAGCATATTTAGCTGTATCTGGACATATGTTACACCTTTTTTAACTCCTCTATAAAGAAGTTGAAATAAAACAAAAAAATTGTTCAATGTGATGCAGTATCAGCTATTATAGTAGAGACACTAAAATAAGAGTGTCTTCTAGGACACACATGCTTGCTATTTCCTCAGTAAGGAACTTAATTAAAAGAACCGTAAATAGATCATCCCCAATGCTATACAGACAAGAGTAAGATTTTGTGACACACATACTCAAGGAATTTGAGGCCACTCCACTCCAAGATGATCACAGGACACCAGCACAGACAAAGCTAAAATCTGAAAATAACTCTGGTATTGCTACAGAATGTAAAATACAGTAAGGAAGTTAAAACAACTTTCTTCCTCACACCCTGTAGAAACAAAACAAAACAAGGAAAACAATTTTTTTTACAGCAAGTAGAATTGCAGAGATCAGTGCAAAGCTTTTGTGCTACCAGTGAGCCCCCATTTGCACATAAACTGAAAATCCTAGATGCTTTTGATGAATTTGAAACAACCAAATAATGAAGATAGAGGGTGGCCAACTTGCCATGAAATGATCTTGTCAAAGACAAGAATGGCAAATCCAACAAGACAAGAGATGACATGAAAGTGAGCATTGCTTGAGACGGACATAAGCATAATATCAATAATTAAACACCTCCTCCACTGCGCTCCACTGAAACCTTCTTCATAAGGCCCTCTTTCTCAACAGCAGCTTCTTGCATTTCAGCCATACGGGCAAACCTTGAGTAAGCAACTGCTCCAGACTTAATAGCCGACATCATCTAGAAACATAAGAAAGAAATGAATTAATCCAAGGGTATTCTGTAATTTTATTATCTTTCTTCCTTCTAGTTCTTTTTTTTCCCCCCAAAGAAGCTCACTGAGGACATGTGATTGCCATGTGATCAACATGTGAGCAGCATGTGATCTTATGATTCAACAATAGTTTTTGACTCTCAGCCATGTGGCTTGGCAGGCAGCCAATCTCACTGATTATATGGCCTAGGCCCTGGCATGCCACTCTACTCTTTCAATAGGCTGGTGTAAAGTTGGTGAGGGGAGGAGCTATATTATGTATAATTCTTACCTGAAGATACTCATCTAGCTCAACTTGTCCATTCATGTTTGTGTCAATTTCCTTGAGAATTTCATGCAATTCTTCACCAGACACCTCCTCTCCAAAGCTCTGAAACAGGAACATTAAAAAAAATAAAAAAATGATTAACTTAGAACGTTTTCTTCAAAAACAAATGTGAATGAATGGGCAAGTGGAAATACCTTCATTGACCGTCTGATATCATTAATGGAAACATAACCCTTATGATCTTTGTCAATCATTTGGAAGCGTTTAATGTACAGTTGCATCTCATCCTTAGACAAGTTAATACTCATCTTCTCCCTGGATGCTCTGTTCACCTGCTGTCCCATCTGTTCCGCAAGGAACTGAACAGCCTTCTCATACTGGACCTATAAGAAAATTCAACGAGATTGAGTAATATGCATGGGTATATATAATAACACCTGTCTTGTCAAAACATGTGTATTATATATGACCTTCTTCTCTTTTTCGCTCCACTTGAGTTCTTCAGCCATAATATCAATCACGGTTGGGAGTGCTTCCTGAGCAGCTTGGTTGTTCAGGAATGCCAAACGAAGTCGTCGGGCAATCATATCAACAGCTGAACAGGCGTATTCCCGCACACCATAACGGATCTAAGACATACATACAAGAAAAAGTAACCAAAAAAGCATAAGAGAGATGAACCCCACCCAATATCTTTTTGTGTTTCTTTACTTATTATTATCTCTTTACCTCAGCATCAATATAAGGGAACTCTGGGTGAATTCTCTTGCCGATGATGGGGAAACGTTTGCCGGTCAGGGAAGCCAATTTTGCCACAGCGAAGGCACGATCACCATATGACATGGCAAGATGTTGAGCCACCTCACACTCCAAACCAAAATCTTGTACAAGGCGAATGTACATTGTGGGAGTCCAGCCATGAGCTCCCTCAATCAGCAGTCCATCAGTTTGGCATTCCGGCTTAGTTGGCTTGAGGTTGCACGCTTAAAAGCAATTTACAACTTCAGGTTTGATAATTATATGCTAAAAGGTATTCATTAAAGATATTGGTGAGATAAAACAAAAGTACCTTTGATTGCTGCATCAATTGTGTGTTCAGCCATTGCACGGTAAGTAGTCCACTTGCCACCAGCAATTGTTATCATCTTGGTATCGCTGACATGCACAATGTGGTTACGAGCAAGAGATTGAGTGTCCTCTTTGTTAGGATCTGATACCAGAGGTCGGATTCCACTCCAAGCAGATAACACATCACCTCTTCTGACTGAAACAGTACCATTGTTGTATGTATTAGCGATACTATTGTACCATAGTTGAAGAAGAGAAATTGCAGTTATTCTACTTGTCAAAGATGAATTAATACATACAAATTTTGGGAACAGATAATTACCTTCAACATCAGGGTTTAAGTAGTGTTTCACTTCATTGAGAATGAACTCAATTTCGTCTTCAGTTGGTATCGGATTGTGAGTAACATCGCAAAGTCGATCAGTTGTTCCTGCTATAGTCTGTCTTTGCCAGGGCAGGAAGAAGATGACACGTCCATCAGAGGTGTCTGGATCCAAGAGACCCATCTGGTCAGGGCTGAAAGAAACAAATTGTTGACTTAAGTGGTTCAAAATATGCTCCATGGAGTTGACGTCATCTAAAAATACCTGTAGTATCCAGGAAGAACAATGTGGACGCCAGAGCTGGGACAGCAAATTTCCTTTACGTTTTGGTTATCCATCTTTCTAATGGAATCAGTGAAAGGTCCAGTGGCATTGATAACACACTTTGCCTTCACATCCCATTCCTTGCCTGTTAGTTCATCGCGAAGAGATGCTCCTTGCACCTCCTTCTTTCCATCAGCACCAATTCCATGGATGAGCTTTTGCACTTTCACGTGGTTTGCTACAGTTGCTCCATGCCTAGTTGCAGTAAGCGCAATTGCAAGGCACATTCTAGCATCATCTTGCTGACCTACATTTAAAAAATTCAATTGTTTTTTTGGTGATATATTCTGAGCCTTGTTTGAATGGAGCAGACTAGTTGACTATGAATCATACATACCATCATAGTAGACAATAGCACCGCATAACTTATCCCCTCGTAACATTGGGAAAAGTTCAAGAGCATCCTTCTTAGATAGGTAATAACTGCTCTTTACACTCTTGGATCCAGCCACCAAGTCATACATTTTAATACCCACCCAGTAGTATGGGATCTGCCACCACCTATCCAATAAAACGTAATATTACTTTTCAAATAGGACTAACATTTATTTTCTGCAATTTTTTCTCTTTGGGTGCTTTTTGTTCAAAGAATAATCCTAGACAGGCACTGCTGGTTGTTCTTACGTATAAACAGGCAACATGATGGGAAGAGGGTGAGTCAAATGAGGTGCTGATTCCAACATATTGGTTCTCTCATGGAGAGCTTCCTTCACCATTCTGTACTGGTCAATGTCCAAATTGAAGATGGCTTTTTGAAGATAGCGGACTCCACCGTGAATAAGCTTTGTGGATCTGCTGCTTGTTCCAGAAGCAAAGTCATCCATTTCTACAAGCGCTGTCTTGAGACCTGTAACAAGATTTATTGAATTAGGCCTACTTGGAGAAAAGTCTAATTAATCAACTGACTTTTCAAGGGAAGATTTCTGGAGTCATTAAAGAACATACCCCGAGTAACTGAATCAAGTGCGCATCCAGCACCAGTTGCTCCACCTCCAATGATAAGAACATCAAACTCATCTTCAGTTTGAAGAGACTTAATTTGTTCATCTCGAGGAGGGAGTGTGCGTTTTGCTCTCAGTTTTTTTCCACTTAATTCAGCTGCTGACACTCTTTGAGGCTGTGTCTGGAAACATGAAAGATGAAAACCATTAGATTATTTCAGTTGTCAACAAGTTTTTAGTAGATAGATAGATTATAGATGTGAAAGTGAAAAATTACATACAAGTTCAGTTGTCAGCCAGGAAGCAGCAAGAGCACCAGCTCCAAGTACAGCTGTGCTGTAAGCCACCTTTCTCAGACGAGAAGTGGCCATCTTGATGGTCGAGTGTCAGACCTGTAATATAAGACTTTCTTACAGATGCTTGCTGATAATTACATTTAATATTGCAGTACATAAAGAAAGGTCAGGTGAGGTAAAAAGGTAAAACTATGAAGACGTACAAAAAGAAAGAAGTTAGAAAGGGATAAAGGAAGATAATAGGATGGGG